CGGAGAGGGTATGCATTTTATGAATTCCATATTAACAAATATTTATAACGTTCAGTATCAAGGACTTTGTCCTTCCCTATTCAGACATTCGAATAATAAAAAGGTAAAGAAATCACGCGCGTGCGCACACACAAGTGTGTGTGTATACGTGCGTGTTTTAGTGTGTGTGTCGATTAGAAGTGCTAACAGTCCTCACTAAGAGAGAAACTAAAATAAGAAATACGTTACCTGCTTCAAAGCTGTCGTCACTTCAACCTGTCTTTTATTACAGTGGCATAGTCGGATGGCAACATGTAAGGGCGTTTGGCCATCGTGTGACTGAGGATTTAAACCAGCACCCAGTGATACCAACTTTTCAATGATTGATGTTAGCCCGCTTACAGTAGCAAGGTGAATTGGTGTTAGACCAGCGCTGTCTTTGTGATGTATAGATGATACATCCTTTGAAACAAAAATAAAAACAATTAAAGGGATAGTTGCGTTCCTTTTACAGACCGCAAATGCTTCAATGCCTGGATTAAAGCGTACAAGGCTGCTATTTCGTTTTTTCAACGGCTGGTTTAAATTAACTAATATTTGTGACGGTACACAAATATTAAAAATGCTTAAATTTATGGATTTTTCAGTCGTCTCTGAACCAATTTTGATCAAAGATGATTTTGTCATTTCAATTGTATCTTCTTTCAAGTTTGACACTCAGTTTTTTATTATCTCACACAAAATATTTTGTGCAGCGCCCTCTACAACACAACTTAACTACCCCTTTAACCAAATAAAAAATGAAGGAATTCAAATATTGTTACGTAATGGTAATGTACCCTTTATGAGTATTTATTTGGTCCGTATACATTTATATATATATATATAAATATCTACACTGTTGCCCATAAGGTTGAAATAGTTTCGTTTTTAGACATATTCCGCTGTTTATTTCTATTAAAATACATCAGTTATAACCTTTGACCAGATGTAAAGATTACATAATTAGTCAAAATTGCAGAGGTGAAGTTTATTCACGCATATTATTCCATAAGCTAGCCTATTGTTTGGTTCTATTAAAGGCAGGACATGATTTCTACACCAGCTACATTTGTGCCGTAGAAACAAGAAGATGACATTGAGCGCCGCTGTCGGCGTGTGTAGAGGATCGAGACACGATGGAATCAATGGTTTTCGCCAAACGGTTAATCGAAGATTGCTTGAGCATGGTTACCGAGCAAGTCAAATGGACAAGTGGCCGTGCCTAACTGCTCGACACAGAGTTAACCGTTTTGGTTGGGCTAGGAAGCACAGAAGACTACAGCTTGGAGACTGGCTACATATTAACTTTACGGTTAGGAGCCGCCATATTCTTGACAATACAGATGGAAGACAAATGGCCCGGTGATTCCGTGGCGAGAACCTCCACAATGAGTGAATCCATCAAACCAATCAAGCAGGTGGCGGCTCAGTGATGGTATGGGCCGGTAATCAGCAAAGAGGGAAAATGCCACTGGTGGTACCGTATGGAAACGCCAACACTGTCAAGCATCGCGACATCCAAAAGAACCTTGCCTCTCACACGCAAGAAGGGTCTATGGAAATAAGTTTCAGCTGCAAGACGACAACACTAGACCACGTAAGGCAGCTGCTATGAAGGAATTCCTTGATGCAGAGGTAGGGGGCAGCAGATGCCATGACCTGCTTGCTCCCCTGATATAAACCCTATTGAGTATGTTTGGGATGCCTAAGGCCAAGCCATCAAAACGAGTAACAATACCCCTTAAACATTTAAGGTAGCCCTAGATCTGACTGAAGAATGGGACGCCATCTCTATTAACAACATCCACAAGATTGTAGACAATAATCCATTATGTCCGAGCTCACAGATCAGTGTCAGGGCAGGGCATTCTCGATATTAGTCGACATTAGTGACTGAGTGACACTTGTAAGTATGAGAAATTATATGCGTAAAATCCCTTCATGTATGTGTTTCATTTAAAATGACCAAATAGGTTGAACATTAAAAAAATATATATATATATTAGGCCTCCAATCGAATTTGGTTTGAACTAGAATATAAAATTTGTAAAGATCAACTGTGGTTTGATTTTCATTCTGATTTGTTTGATTGATCAATAAAGTTCTGAAAAGATATAAACTTATTTAGCAAGAATAAATCATAATGTCACAGTCATTTAACGAAACAGGGTACAAATAATTTTTTTCGAACTTCATGGGCAACATTGTTTATTTTAACATATATATGTACATACATACGTTTCCATCATATACTTTAAATGATAACGCTATCCATAATATATAGTAGAAGATATAAATAATGACACTTGATAGATAATGCATTGTTGTCGGGCATTCATTACTATCATTATTATAATATAATAATGTGATATCCATTTACTGTTGGCCTGTTATAACCATAACATAAGAGAAGATAGTTATTGAGGATTACTATCAGCAGTTATATTAGTAGAACTGTATAGGGTAGAATTGTTGTTGATGAAGTGTAACAAGTAGAGGTAGTAGAGGGCGTATATTATGGGTGTTGGTTGTACTAATGGTAATGCATCAGCTATATGACGGAAGTTATACTAATAAACATAAATTAAAGCTGAATGAGTCACAGCTACATTTACCTTATCAAGAAGAGTCCTTGCAGTATCAGCATTGCCAGATCTTAGTGCAATACTTAGCGGTGACGGGCCTCTTCTACAAATTCTCGTGCTCATAATTGCTTTCCGGTCCAGTAAATCCTTCATTATTGTTTCATTCCCACTTTATTAAAACAAGAAAAGGTATTATTTAAATATTTTTTATTTGTCATATCTTTTTCTCTTCGTTTCTTTTTTTTTCTCTCCATATTTTCTCTCTCTCTTTCTCTCTTTTCCTCTTTTCCTTTTTTTTTTCTCTACTCTCGCGCTCCTTTTTTCCGTTCTCCTTTCATTTTTCCCGTATTTCTAATCCTTTACTTTGTTTTGTCATTCTCACGCCTCACTCCCTCCTTTTTATTTCGCGTGTTGCCATTCTTGTCTCGTCATTTTGTTGAACATACTTATCCTCTTTGTTTTCTGAACTGGGATCACTTAGCAACAGTTACACCCATTTTCACGTTATGAATAAATTTGAATAAGAGGACACCAAATTGTCCTCCTAATCACAATGTCTACTTTAATAATGACTCATTTTTCACTCCAAATGTCTCTCTAATGACGCCTTTAGTAAAATATACATATATATATATATATACATATTCCAAGTAATATATATTTATAAGTAATATACAGAGTGAGTCAGAAAAAAGGCCCACTTTTAGAAAGTTGTATTGTTAGAATATGAATATGGAATCATGGGCTTCATGATATATCTTGATAGAGTTATCCTCTTAGTACATTTAGGTACCATTTTCATTTGAATCTTTACAAGACTGCCAGATCTCACTTGCGCCAAGTTACTGGGTGAGGAATAAAACAGTGCATTGAACAAAGACAGTCAGACATGCGCACACGCACACACACCCACACACACATACACACGCACACACAACATAAACGGTGACAATTGTTTCATAATTTCCCCTGATTGAGCATTGATGTTTATCAAGATCGCTGAATGTTTAAGTGGCATAACCCTAAAAATCTTTCCCTTTCCCATGTAATCATCATCATCATTGTAACATCTTAATCTTCTTCATCCTCATCATCATTATCATCATCATCATAAGGCACAACATCCGCCAAATTATGCACCAAGAGGACAGCGGTCACTGAACTTTTCGTACGATAAGAAGAATTCCCGACAAAAAGTAACAGTTTGGGCGGGCCTTGTCGGGAATGGAATGCTCATTTGTGTGCGTGTGCCTGTGCATGTGCGCGCGCGCGCGCGTGTGTGTGCGTGTGTGTGTGTGTGCGTGTGTGCATGTGTGCATGTGTTTGTGTGTTGTGTCTGTCTGGCTAATTGGATAATTGAACAAAACTGGCTGTCTTTGTTCAAAACATTATTTTATTCCTCACCTAGCAACTTGGTGCAAGTGAGATCTGGCAGTCCTGTAAAGATTGTCTGATGTTCAGTCATGCATGCAGAGATTCAAATGAAAATGGTACCTAAATGTAATGGGAGAATAACTCTATCAAGACATATCATGAAACTCATGATTAAATATTCATACTTCAAACAATACAATTTTTAAAAAGTGGGACATTTTTTTCTGACTCACTCTGTATAATTAATATATTGAGTAAGTTATTAGATAAGTGTGCTATTTTGTATTTATCTATTATATTATTTGTGGATGTAGTACCTTTTGTAGCCGAAATTGGAGGATGTACAGTGTAGTACTTTTTGGAACCGAGCTCTTTACAATTATACATGTATATATATATATATATTTAACAAGTAATATATATTTATAAGTAATATATAATTAATATATTTAGTAAGTTATTAGATAAGTGCGCTATTTTGTATTTGTCTGTTATATTTATTGTGGATGTAGTACCTTTTTGAACCGAAATTGGGTGTACAGTGTAGTACTTTTTGGAACCGTAAATCTTGCATACTGTATGCAAGTTACAATGCATAACTTGAATGGATAAAGTACCTTTCGGAACCGAACTGATTATTATATTCTATTTTTACTTTTCTTCAAAACAGAAATTCAGCTTTTTGTTACTATAAATGTGTACATTAAAGCACACACACACACACACACGCATACGCACACACACGCACATGATGTAGCGAAACTTTGACTGTGTTTCGTTCATTTCCTAATCAACATGGCCTATAAAAATGCAAATCAACCTACCCTTAAAATGGGATCTAAAGAAAAAACATGTTAACAAATATTTTAAGAAGACTGAGAAAAGTTGTTTTGCTTTGACTGGCACGAAGAACGTTTTTGTTGAATTGTACAACAAAACAATTGAATCATAGTAATATTTTTGATACAGTCAAGGAGAAAACTAGTTGTACAATTTGTATGAAAATATTGTATAAACGGATTACCTTGCTGCAGCATAATGAAGCGCTGTCCATCCTTCTGCATCTTCTGTCTCAATATCTGCATTGTTTTCTAGCAGCAGACGTGCGCAGTCCACATGTCCTCCCATTACGGAAGCCATTAGTGGCGTGACACCTTTTAAGGTCTGTAAGAACAATTATATCGGTACGATATAATTAGAACACTGTTTAATGTCCTCTCCGGTATCGGATTTGGTGTTTCCTTTTTTGGTATTTTGCTTTTGTCCAGAGCAACTAGACCTTTTCAAAAGGGATACATTGGTAGTATAAAGATCAACGTGGAGTCCATCCAAGCTTTTCAGACATTGGACAAAGTTCTTATGGGGATGCAAGTTAAAAACTATATTACGTATTAACACCTGCATTTGCTTGCATGCGTATCAGCCAATTACCCCCCTGGGAAATCACCCCCGGAAAATTACCCCCCGGAAAACTACCCCCTTTGGACGATTTACCCCCGGAAAATTACGCCCGGAAAATTACCCCCCCCCCTCCCCCGAGGACAATTACCCCCAAGGACAATTACCCCCGTAGAATTCCGCCCCCCCCCCCCCGAGGACAACTACCCCCGAGGACAATTACCCCCCAAGGACAATTACCCCCGGAGAATTATCCCCCGGAGAAATACCCCCGGAGGACAACTACCCCCGAGGACAATTACCCACAAGACAACTACCCCCCCCCCCGAGGACAACAACCCCAGAGGACAATTACCCCCCGAGGAAAACTACCCCTGAGGACAATTACCCCCCAAGGATAACTACCCTCGAGGACAACTCTCCCCCAGGAAAACTACCCCCGAGGACAATTACCCCCAAGGACAACTACCCCCCCCCCCCCCGAGGACAACCACCCCCAAGGACAATTACCCCCCGAGGACAACTACCCCTCCCCCTCCGAGGACAACCCCCCCCCCCGAGAACAATAGGGACTTTTAGATTTGCACATTGACAACGTGGATTGCTACGATCGACGTCCCTTTAATGCACTGCCTTGAATGGACGTCACACCTATCAGTCCACGCAAATTTAAAAGTCCCTATTAACCCCCGAAGGACAACCAGGCGCGGATCCAGGATATTTTAGGGGTGGGGCCCAATTTTGCTTTTTGCTCCAGAAAAAGCGCTCAGTGGGGGGGGGGGGGGGGTAGCGAGCACTAATTGTTTGGATCCGCTACTGAGGACAACTACCCCCAATGACAATCAATCCCGAAGAATTTATAACACTGTGACGTATAATGCAAGCTTCTCTCCAAATGGCTATTTACTGAAAAATTCACGAACCTTCATTTTCTTTGTTCATTTCAATCTTTCCAAAATAATTAAATTAAATATGGGGGGAGGGGGGAGAGGGGGAGGGGGTGGAGGTTGCCCAATTCCCCCGAGTAAAGAACATGAATTACATTTCTTAGAAGAAAAAATGAACAATACATTGCGCGCAGATGAGTACGCTATACAGCCTCTCTCACTACAATGACACAACACAGAAATTAGGGTGTAAGATTTCCTTTATGCATTCTCTGTAAAAAAATTGAACCATTGAACCATTGAACTTATGTCGAAAGAGTGGGTAGCTTCGCGTCGCGGTGCGTTGGCTTGAACGCGACAATTCGTCCAAAGCCCCCCCCCCCCCCCCCATTCGGTATGGTCGAAAGGGTGCGTTGACTAGTCTTCCACATCAGTCGCCTATAATATAATTCACAGAATAGTAATTTAAGTCGTTTAAATTCAAATAATCAAGATAGAAACAAGTTTTTACGTAGTTTTGCAGATCAGGCGTTTGTAAGAATTACATCAATAATATTATTGAATTCAATGAATTTTTTAAAAGGCCAAATAAAAATAATATCCATTTCTTTCTATGTATATAATTCTTTTTTGATGTAAACTAGTCATGCTTAACAGTCTTTACACATGAATTAACAAATAAATAAATAAATAACGGAGTAGGCGTACTTCCTTAATGCACCATTTCGGGATAAGCGGGCAGGGGGGGGGGGGGCGGGGGCGGGAGGGGGAGCTTTCTGAATTCCGTTTTTCGTTATTTTTATAAATAAACGACTGATATGCAAGACTAGGTAAACACCTTTATTAGACATTTTAGATATCATAATAATTTATTTGATTGTGTTTCTTTTAATTTATTGATTTAGTTCTTCTAAACGCCTGATCTGCAAGCCTACGTAAAACTAGTTTGATTTAATTTTTAATCTGTTTCTATTTTGATTATTTGAATTTAGACGACTTAAATTTCTATTTATTAAATTCTATTATAAACGACTGATGTGGAAGATTAGTCAACGCACCCTTTCGGCCGAACCGGGGGGAGGGGGTGGGGGGGGGGGGCTTTGGACGAATGGTCGCGTTCAAGTCAACGCGATGCGACGTTACCCTACCCACCGTTTGAAAATGTCTTTTCCTTTTTCTTCTTAAATGTGTCCATACGTATGTGCATAGCACTTGACGAGTGCCAGAGTCATGGAAAATTAATAGTCTGTAAAGGCTTTGGGATTTGGGAGAAATTTTTCATTTCTTAAGAGGGTACCGTGATTAACAAAAAATTAGAATAATGCTTCTCCAGAGAAATGTATTTCTATTCATTTTGAAAAGCGCTGGACAATTACCTAAAACTTACATCCTTCGTGGAAATCAGCAAGCGCACTTGCGTTGCATAATTTAGAATGAAAGGGAAATGTGTAGTAATAAGGAAAAAAACGTGCTATAGTATTTGAACGAATATGGGTTCATGCAGGGAATCTTATGGGTTCGTAGCCATCTCTCAATGTGTCAGATCGTTTTTTGCTATTGAATTCTGATTGTCCACGGGGGAAGTTCTCCTCGGGGGGGGGGGGGTAATTGTCATGGGGGGGGGGAGAACTGTCCTAGGGGGGTAATTATCATCTTGGGGTAGTTGTATTCGGGGGGTAATTGTCTTCTGGGGTAATTGTCATCGGGGGGGGGGAGGGGAGTTGTCATCGGAGGGGAGAACTGTCCTAGGGGGGTAATTGTCCCCGGGGGGGGAATCGCCCGCAGACGTGTAATTGAGACATTGATATTAAGAACGCAGGCATTCCTGGTCAACTACAACTCGACAATTATCCTCTGCCAATTACCCATCGAGTACATTTACACTCAGAACAACTACACCAGGTGCAATAATTCTGGAACAATTACCTTCCAGTTACGTCCTGTGGGTAGTTTTCCGCGGCTACAGTTTAATACAAATATCATGATTATTTGAACATATTGCGTCCATGAAAAAAATAACACATGGGTTAATGATTACCATTCAAATTGTGTGGAAGAGGTTTAATTAAGGAATATTTAATTTTTTCTCAACTGTTAGACTACATTGTTTCATTAGAATGCTCTAAATCCTTACTCAGGTATCTAAAAGCCTCAAAACCGGGTAACTCATCACGAGTGACCCATTTTCCTCAAATTTTCCCTTTGAGACAACACACGAGACGACACTAAACAACAAATTGGTAGTGAAATTTCGACTGTTAAGTAAAATAAGTTTGAATTGAGCATAATACCTGAAGTCCCACTTTAAGTGCATTGTGACCTTTTCCCGATGTACCGTTGGTCCTGTTTTTCAGGAAATATTCCAATGATCCTAAATGACCATTATCTGCTGCGAAATGAGAAACTGTCCAACCGAAACTATTACGTGCCGCGATATCTGCTCCTTTCGTAATGAGATATTTGATAATGTCAAGGTAGCCCCAACGGGAAGCAGCCTGAAGTGGTAGATCACCATCAGTTGCTGCTTTCGTGACATCAGCTCCTGCATTTACTAGACATTCAACAACATCAAGATGACCCTTTTGAGAGGCCATATACAGGGATGTTGTACCATTGTTTGTTACCGAGTTCGGGTTTGCTCCATGAGAAATGAGATATTTTACAATATCTACATGACCTCTACCTGATGCCACATGAAGCGGTGTCGTGCCATTCTTTGCTGCTTTGTTCGTATCAGCTCCTGCGATCACTAGCCATTCGACAACCTGAAGCTGACCCTCTAAAGAGGCAAGGTAAAGGGGTGTACGACCATTGTTTGTAACCGAGTTCGGGTTTGCTCGTTGACAAATGAGATATATTACAATAGAAGAATGGCCTTTACCTGATGCCACATGAAAAGGTGTCCAACCTTTATCCGTTGCTTTCTCCACATCAGCTTCTGCATCCACTAGAAAGTCAACAACATCGAGATGACCCACTTCTGAGGCAAGGTACAGGGGTGTACGACCAGTGTTTGTAACCGAATTTGCGTTCGCTCTTTGAGAAATGAGATATTTTACAATATCTGCATGGCCTTTACCTGACGCCACATGAAGAGGTGTCCTGCCTTCCTTTGCTGCTATGTTTACATCAGCTCCTGCATTCACTAGACATTCAACAACATCAAGATGACCCTCTTCTGAGGCAAGGTACATGGGTGTACGACCATCGTTTACAACTGAATTCGGGTTTGCTCCTTGAGATATTAGATATTTCACAATGTCTGCATGACCTTTACCTGATGCCAGATGAAGTGGTTCCACGCCATTCTGTGTTGCTTTGTTTACATCTCCTCCTGCATTCACCAGACATTCGACAACCTGAAGCTGACCCTCTATAGAGGCAAGGTGCAGGGGTGTTTGACCATTGTTTTTAACCGAGTTCGGGTTTGCTCCTTGACAAATGAGATATGTTACAATGTCTACATGACCTTTACCTGATGCCACATAAAGAGGTGTCGTGCCATTCTTTGCTGCTTTGTTCGCATCAGCTCCTGCATTCACTAGACATTCGACAACCTGGAGATGACCCTCTTGTGAGGCAATGCACATGGGTGTAGAACCATTGTTATTAACCGAATTCGGGTTCGCTTCTTGAGAAATTAAATATTTTACAATGTCTACATGACCCAAACTTGACGCAGCTCGAAGAGGTGTCAAACCTTCATCCGTTGCTTTGTTCACATCAGCTCCTGCCTTCACCAGACATTCGACAACCTGAAGCTGACCCTCTATAGAGGCAAGGTACAGGGGTGTTTGACCATTGTTTTTAACCGAGTTCGGGTTTGCTCCTTGACAAATGAGATATGTTACAATATCTACATGACCTTTACCTGATGCCACATAAAGAGGTGTCGTGCCATTCTTTGCTGCTTTGTTCGCATCAGCTCCTGCATTCACTAGACATTTGACAACCTGGAGATGACCCTCTTGTGAGGCAATGCACATGGGTGTAGAACCATTGTTATTAACCGAATTCGGGTTCGCTTCTTGAGAAATTAAATATTTTACAATGTCTACATGACCCAAACTTGACGCAGCTCGAAGAGGTGTCAAACCTTCATCCGTTGCTTTGTTCACATCAGCTCCTGCCTTCACTAGACATTCAACAACATCAAGATGACCCTCTTCTGAGGCAAGGTGCAGGGGTGTTTGACCATTGTTTGTAACCGAGTTCGGGTTTGCTCGTTGACAAATGAGATATATTACAATAGAAGAATGACCTTTACCTGATGCCACATGAAAAGGTGTCCAACCTTTATCCGTTGCTTTCTCCACATCAGCTTCTGCATCCACTAGAAAGTCAACAACATCGAGATGACCCACTTCTGAGGCAAGGTACAGGGGTGTACGACCAGTGTTTGTAACCGAATTTGCGTTCGCTCTTTGAGAAATGAGATATTTTACAATATCTGCATGGCCTTTACCTGACGCCACATGAAGAGGTGTCCTGCCATCCTCTGCTGCTATGTTTACATCAGCTCCTGCATTCACTAGACATTCAACAACATCAAGATGACCCTCTTCTGAGGCAAGGTACATGGGTGTACGACCATTGTTTACAACTGAATTCGGGTTTGCTCCTTGAGATATTAGATAGTTCACAATGTCTACATGACCTTTACCTGATGCCACATAAAGAGGTGTCGTGCCATTCTTTGCTGCTTTGTTCGCATCAGCTCCTGCAGTCACGAGACATTCGACAACCTGCGGATAACCCTCTTGTGAGGCAATGCACAGGGGTGTAGACCCATTGTTATTAACCGAATTCATGTTGGCTCCTTTAGAAATGAGACATTTTGCAATGTCTACTTTACCATTAGATGATGCTGCATAAAGTGGTGTGGCGCCATCCTGTGATGCTTTCTCGACATCAGCTCCTGCATTCACAAGAAACTCAACAACATTAAGATGACCCTCACGTGAGGCAATGTACAGGGGTGTAAAACCATCGTTATCAACCGAATTTGTGTTGGCCCCTTTAGAAATTAGGCATTTTACAATGTCTACTGCACCATTAGATGACGCCGCGTAAAGAGGTGTCATGCCATTCTTTATTGCTTTGTTTACATCAGCTCCTGCATTCACTAGACATTCAACAATATTAAGATGACCCTCAAGTGAGGCAATGAACAGGGGTGTTAAACCATCGTTATAAACCGAATTCAGGTTGGCTCCTTTAGAAATGAGACATTTTGCAATGTCTAATGCACCATTACATGCTGCTGCATGAAGAGATGTGGCGCCATCCTGTGATGCTTTCTTGACATCAGCTCCTGCATTCACGAGAAACTCAACAACATTAAGATGACCCTCACGTGAGGCAATGTACAGGGGTGTAAAACCATCGTTATCAACCGAATTCAGGTTGGCTCCTTTAGAAATTAGACATTTTACAATGTCTACTGCACCATTATATGACTCCGCGTAAAGAGGTGTCATGCCATTCCTTATTGCTTTGTTTACATCAGCTCCTGCATTCAATAGAAATTCAACAACATCAAGATTGCCCTTTTGTGATGCAATGTACAGGGGCGTATAACTATAGGTATCAACCGAATTCGGGTCGGCCCCTTTAGAAATGAGACATTTTACAATGTCTACTGTACCATTAGATGATGCTGCATGAAGAGGTGTGGCGCCATCCTGTGATGCTTTCTTGACATCAGCTCCTGCATTCACAAGAAACTCAACAACATTAAGATGACCCTTACGTGAGGCAATGTACAGGGGTGTGAAACCATCGTTATCAACCGAATTTGTGTTGGCCCCTTTAGAAATTAGGCATTTTACAATGTCTACTGCACCATTAGATGACGCCGCGTAAAGAGGTGTCATGCCAATCTTTATTGCTTTGTTTACATCAGCTCCTGCACTCACTAGACATTCAACAATATTAAGATGACCCTCAAGTGAGGCAATGAACAGGGGTGTTAAACCATCTTTATAAACCGAATTCAGGTTGGCTCCTTTAGAAATGAGACATTTTGCAATGTCTACTTCACCATTAGATGATGCTGCATGAAGAGATGTGGCGCCATCCTGTGATGCTTTCTTGACATCAGCTCCTGCATTTACAAGAAATTCAACAACATTAAGATGACCCTCACGTGAGGCAATGAACAGAGGTGTTAAACCATCGTTATAAACCGAATTCAGGTTGGCTCCTTTAGAAATGAGACATTTTGCAATGTCTACTTCACCATTAGATGATGCTGCATGAAGAGGTGTGGCGCCATCCTGTGATGCTTTCTTGACATCAGCTCCTGCATTCACAAGAAACTCAACAACATTAAGATGACCTTCACGTGAGGCAATGTACAGGGGTGTAAAACCATCGTTATCAACCGAATTTGTGTTGGCCCCTTTAGAAATTAGACATTTTACAATGTCTACTGCACCATTAGATGACGCCGCGTAAAGAGGTGTCATGCCATTCCTTATTGCTTTGTTTACATCAGCTCCTGCATTCAATAGAAATTCAACAACATCAAGATTGCCCTTTTGTGATGCAATGTACAGGGGCGTATAACTATAGGTATTAACCGAATTCGGGTCGGCCCCTTTAGAAATGAGACATTTTACAATGTCTACTGTACCATTAGATGATGCCGCATGAAGAGGTGTCGCGCCATTCTTTATCGCTTTGTTTACATCAGCTCCTGCATTCACTAGACATTCAACAACATCAAGATTGCCCTTTTGTGATGCAATGTACAGGGGCGTATAACTATAGGTATCAACCGAATTCGGGTCGGCCCCTTTAGAAATGAGACATTTTACAATGTCTACTGTACCATTAGATGATGCCGCATAAAGAGGTGTCGCGCCATTCGTTGCTGCTTTCTTGACATGAGCTCCTGCATTTACTAAACATTTAACAGCATCTAGATGACCCTCTTGTGAGGCAATGTACAGTGGTGTATAACCATCGTTTTCAACACAATTTGGGTTGGCGCCTTTAGAAATTAGATATTTTACAATGTCTACATGACCTTTATATGACGCCGTATAGAGAGATTTCTCGCCATTCTTTGCTGCTTTCTTGACATCAGCTCCTGCATTCACCAGACATTTAACAACATCAATATGTCCGTTTCGTGTCGCGTAATAGAGGGATGTAAAACCACATTCATCACTAGTATTAACATCAACTCCTTTACGTATGATATATTTTACAGCATCGATATTACCCTTGGAAGTTGCATTTTGGAGGATATTATTGCAAGTATCAGTACGTCCCAGATCTGCTTCCTTTGCCATGAGAAATTCTGCTATTTCCCGTTGTTCATAACGTAATGCTATGCCCAGTGGTGCGTAACCATCGTGTGATACTTTGTTTACATCTGCCCCTGCATTTACGAGACATTCAACAATATCAAGGTGACATGTCTTTGAAGCAATATGAAGAAGGGTATAGTTATTATCATCAGCACAGCATGTATTTAGATCTGTCCCGTTAGACATGAGGTATTTCACAACTAGTATATGTCCCCCTTCCGTTGCTCCATGTAACGGTGTACCATGATGTCCTGATGCTTTGTTCACATCTGCTCCTTTATTCACGAGGCACTCAACTACCCCGAGATAGCCTCCGTGTGAAGCGGCGTAGAGAGGCGTGAGACCATCATGTCCTGATGCTTTGTTCACATCTGCTCCTTTATTCACTAGGCACTCAACTACCCCGAGATAGCCTCCTTGTGAAGCGGCGAAGAGAGGCGTGAGACCACCATGTCCTGATGCTTTGTTCACATCTGCTCCTTTATTCACGAGGCACTCAACTACCTCGAGATAGCCTCCTTGTGAAGCGGCGTAGAGAGGCGTGAGACCATCATTTCCTGATGCTTTGTTCACATCTGCTCCTTTATTCACGAGGCATTCAACTACCTCGAGATAGCCTCCTTGTGAAGCGGCGTAGACGGGCGTGACACCATCATGTCCTGATGCTTTGTTCACATCTGCTCCTTTATTCACGAGGCACTCAACTACCCCGAGATAGCCTCCTTGTGAAGCGGCGTAGAGGGGTGTAAAATCCTCGTTATAAACCGAATTCATGTTGGCTCCTTTAGAAATGAGACATTTTGCAATGTCTACTTCACCATTAGATGATGCTGCATGAAGAGGTGTGGCGCCATCCTGTGATGCTTTCTTGACATCAGCTCCTGCATTCACAAGAAACTCAACAACATTAAGATGACCCTCACGTGAGGCAATGTACAGGGGTGAAAAACCATCATTATCAACCGAATTTGTGTTGGCCCCTTTAGAAATGAGACATTGTACAATGTCTACTGCACCATTAGATGACGCCGCGTAAAGAGGTGTCATGCCATTCTTTATTGCTTTGTTTACATCAGCTCCTGCATTCAATAGAAATTCAACAACATCAAGGATGCCCGTTTGTGAGGCAATGTACAGTGGTGTATAACTATAGTTATCAACCGAATTCGAGTTGGCCCCTTTAGAAATGAGACATTGTACAATGTCTACTATACCGTTAGATGATGCTGCATGAAGAGGTGTCGCGCCATTCTTTATCGCTTTGTTTACATCAGCTCCTGCATTCACTAGACATTCAACAACATCAAGATTGCCCTTTTGTGATGCAATGTACAGGGGCGTATAACTATAGGTATCAACCGAATTCGGGTCGGCCCCTTTAGAAATGAGACATTTTACAATGTCTACTGTACCATTAGATGATGCCGCATAAAGAGGTGTCGCGCCATTCGTTGCTGCTTTCTTGACATGAGCTCCTGCATTTACTAAACATTTAACAGCATCTAGATGACCCTCTTGTGAGGCAATGTACAGTGGTGTATAACCATCGTTTTCAACACAATTTGGGTTGGCGCCTTTAGAAATTAGATATTTTACAATGTCTACATGACCTTTATATGACGCCGTATAGAGAGATTTCTCGCCATTCTTTGCTGCTTTCTTGACATCAGCTCCTGCATTCACCAGACATTTAACAACATCAATATGTCCGTTTCGTGTCGCGTAATAGAGGGATGTAAAACCACATTCATCACTAGTATTAACATCAACTCCTTTACGTATGATATATTTTACAGCATCGATATTACCCTTGGAAGTTGCATTTTGAAGGATATTATTGCAAGTATCAGTACGTCCCAGATCTGCTTCCTTTGCCATGAGAAATTCTGCTATTTCCCGTTGTTCATAACGTAATGCTATGCCCAGTGGTGCGTAACCATCGTGTGATACTTTGTTTACATCTGCCCCTGCATTTACGAGACATTCAACAATATCAAGGTGACATGTCTTTGAAGCAATATGAAGAAGGGTATAGTTATTATCATCAGCACAGCATGTATTTAGATCTGTCCCGTTAGACATGAGGTATTTCACAACTAGTATATGTCCCCCTTCCGTTGCTCCATGTAACGGTGTACCATGATGTCCTGATGCTTTGTTCACATCTGCTCCTTTATTCACGAGGCACTCAACTACCCCGAGATAGCCTCCGTGTGAAGCGGCGTAGAGAGGCGTGAGACCATCACGTCCTGATGCTTTGTTCACATCTGCTCCTTTATTCACTAGGCACTCAACTACCCCGAGATAGCCTCCTTGTGAAGCGGCGAAGAGAGGCGTGAGACCACCATGTCCTGATGCTTTGTTCACATCTGCTCCTTTATTCACGAGGCACTCAACTACCTCGAGATAGCCTCCTTGTGAAGCGGCGTAGAGAGGCGTGAGACCATCATTTCCTGATGCTTTGTTCACATCTGCTCCTTTATTCACGAGGCATTCAACTACCTCGAGATAGCCTCCTTGTGAAGCGGCGTAGACGGGCGTGACACCATCATGTCCTGATGCTTTGTTCACATCTGCTCCTTTATTCACGAGGCACTCAACTACCTCGAGATAGCCTCCTTGTGAAGCGGCGTAGAGGGGTGTAAAATCCTCGTTATAAACCGAATTCATGTTGGCTCCTTTAGAAATGAGACATTTTGCAATGTCTACTTCACCATTAGATGATGCTGCATGAAGAGGTGTGGCGCCATCCTGTGATGCTTTCTTGACATCAGCTCCTGCATTCACAAGAAACTCAACAACATTAAGATGACCCTCACGTGAGGCAATGTACAGGGGTGAAAAACCATCATTATCAACCGAATTTGTGTTGGCCCCTTTAGAAATGAGACATTGTACAATGTCTACTATACCGTTAGATGATGCTGCATGAAGAGGTGTCGCGCCATTCTTTATCGCTTTGTTTACATCAGCTCCTGCATTCACTAGACATTCAACAACATCAAGATTGCCCTTTTGTGATGCAATGTACAGGGGCGTATAACTATAGGTATCAACCGAATTCGGGTCGGCCCCTTTAGAAATGAGACATTTTACAATGTCTACTGTACCATTAGATGATGCCGCATAAAGAGGTGTCGCGCCATTCGTTGCTGCTTTCTTGACATGAGCTCCTGCATTTACTAAACATTTAACAGCATCTAGATGACCCTCTTGTGAGGCAATGTACAGTGGTGTATAACCATCGTTTTCAACACAATTTGGGTTGGCGCCTTTAGAAATTAGATATTTTACAATGTCTACATGACCTTTATATGACGCCGTATAGAGAGATTTCTCGCCATTCTTTGCTGCTTTCTTGACATCAGCTCCTGCATTCACCAGACATTTAACAACATCAATATGTCCGTTTCGTGTCGCGTAATAGAGGGATGTAAAACCATATTCATCACTGGTATTAACGTCAACTCCTTTACGTATGATATATGTTACAGCATCGATATTACCCTTGGAAGTTGCATTTTGGAGGATATTATTGCAAGTATCAGTACGTCCCAGATCTGCTTCCTTTGCCATGAGAAATTCTGCTATTTCCCGTTGTTCATAACGTAATGCTATGCCCAGTGGTGCGTAACCATCGTGTGAGACTTTGTTTACATCTGCCCCTGCATTTACGAGACATTCAACAATATCAAGGTGACATGTCTTTGCAGCAATATGAAGAAGGGTATAGTTATTATCATCAGCACAACATGTATTTAGATCTGTCCCGTTAGACATGAGGTATTTCACAACTAGTATATGTTCCCCTTCCGTTGCTCCATGTAACGGTGTACCATGATGTCCTGATGCTTTGTTCACATCTGCTCCTTTATTCACGAGGCACTCAACTACCTCGAGATAGCCTCCTTGTGAAGCGGCGTAGAGAGGCGTGAGACCATCATGTCCTGATGCTTTGTTCACATCTGCTCCTTGATTCACGAGGCATTCAACTACCTCGAGATAGCCTCCTTGTGAAGCGGCGTAGAGAGGCGTGAGACCATCATGTCCTGATGCTTTTTTCACATCTGCTCCTTTATTCACGAGGCATTCAACTACCTCGAGATAGCCTCCTTGTGAAGCGGCGTAGAGAGGCGTGAGACCATCATGTCCTGATGCTTTGTTCACATCTGCTCCTTGATTCACGAGGCATTCAACTACCTCGAGATAGCCTCCTTGTGAAGCGGCGTAGAGAGGCGTGAGACCATCATGTCCTGATGCTATGTTCACATCTGCTCCTTTATTCACGAGGCATTCAACTACCTCAAGATAGCCTCCTTGTGAAGCGGCGTAGAGAGGCGTGAGACCATCATGTCCTGATGCTTTGTTCACATCTGCTCCTTTATTCACGAGGCATTCAACTACCTCGAGATAGTCTCCTTGTGAAGCGGCGTAGAGAGGCGTGAGACCATCATGTCCTGATGCTTTGTTCACATCTGCTCCTTTATTCACGAGGCATTCAACTACCTCGAGATAGCCTCCTTGTGAAGCGGCGTAGAAGGGCGTGACATTATCATGTCCTGATGCTTTGTTCACATCTGCTCCTTTATTCACGAGGCACTCAACTACCTCGAGATAGCCTCCTTGTGAAGCGGCGTAGAGGGGCGTGACACCATCATGTCTAGATGCATTGTTCATATCTGCTCCTTTTTTCGCGATGCACTCAACAAGTTCGAGAAGGCCTATATTTGATGCAAGATAAAGAGGTGTGTTACCATCAACATCACACCTATCAAGGTCATCAACTTTACCGATGAGATATTTTAAAACATCGAGATGCCCATAAATAAACGCATGACTAATTGCGTTTGTGCCGATGTCATCTCTGATCCCAATATCTGCCGATGTAAGGATAAGATATTTTACAATGTCAAGGTGACCTTTAATCAATGCAGTATAGAGAGGTGCGTGTCCGTTATTGGATGATTTGTTGACATTTGCTCCTGCATCCACCAGGCATTCAACAACGTGGAGATGACCATTCTGTGACGCGTGATGAAGTGGTGTGAAACCATTTCTATCTCCCAGTTCGAAGTTTCCCCCTTTAGTTATTATATACCTTACAGCATCGAGGTCGCCCTCTGATGATGCTTTGGAAAGCACAAGTGGACTGACGTAATCTCTGTTGCCAATGTCTGCTTCCTTAATCATAAGAAACTCAACAATACCCCGATGTCCCTCTATAAATGCGGTTGACAGCGGAGTGTAACCATTTAGAGATGATTCATTGATGTCGGCTCCTGCATTCACTAGATATTCTACAACATAAAGATGGCCCTCTTTTGATGCCGCGTGAAGTGGTGTGTACTTGCTGTTGTCATCCATGTTGATATTTGCACCTTCAGTTAAGAGATATTTAACTACATCGAGATGACCACAGGAAGCCGCAGTACTAAGAGCAGTTTTACCTTCATATCCCTTCAATGTCATATCTGCTCCCCGAGTTATGAGATATTTCACCACATCAAGACGACCCTTTCTTGCTGAAGTATAAAGGGGTGTAGAACCATCACATGAAACTTTGTTTATATCTGCTCCAGATTTCACTAAACATTCTACAACACCAACATGGTCCTCCTCCGAAGCAAGATGGAGAGGTGTATAGCCATTGCTATTACCAATATTGGTATCTGCTCCTTTCCCGATGAGATATTGAGCAACATTCTGGCGACCACTCCGAGACGCATAGTGAAGAGGGGCGTCGCCACTTCTACTTTTCTTTTCTATATCCGCCCCCAAATCGATCATATATTTCACGAGGTCAATATGTCCTTCTTCTGAAGCGATGTGGAGGGGTGTCTTTCCATCGGAATCCACACTGCGTAGCATTACTAGGTTAGTATCACCTGTCTCGTCTTCCAGAATAGACCTTGTCTTTACAAGATCACCGTCCTTCACCGCTGTAGAAAGCGCCATGTTCATTCTGTCTTCTCTATCGGTATGTGTATTCTCTCTAGCTATCTGTTTAATAACAAAGAAGGAAAGCAATGAAACTCAATATTTAGATTTGAATGAACCAGGACAAAACAGGATGTACAAAGATGAATGAAACATACTCTTGGGAGGGGGGGGGGGGGTCACTAAGATCCTAAGTCGAACTTCACTCTAAATAAGACTGAAACGTTATGGAGCGCGACTTGTAGCCTTAAATTAAAATATATTCAAAAACACTAATTTAAGTATTTTAGAATTTGTTTAAATTCCACGTCAAGAACATGAAATCTCTTTGATAACAGAAAATATGAACGATTTGAATCAACATTTTATGCCTTTTAAAATAATTGTTACAAATTATTTTCATAAATGCCAATGGCTTTCCATAATTGTTAAGGGTTCCATGACACATGCTCCGCCGACGATTGCTCCGCCGACATTTACTCCGCAAAACGCGACAATTGCTCCGCGACATTTGCTCCGCGACATTTGCTCCGACGTCAAATGCTCCGCCGACAGGTGCTCCGCCGACAGTTGCTCCGCCGACAGTTGCTCCGCCGACAATTGCTCCGCCGACAGATGCTCCGCCGACAATTGCTCCGCCGACAATTGCTCCGCCGACAATTGCTCCGCCGTCAATTGCTCCGCAAAACGCGACAATTGCTCCGCCGACATTTGCTCCGCCGACATTTGCTCCGCCTGAAGCGACACTTGCTCCGCCGACATTTGCTCCGCCGACATTTGCTCCGCCGACATTTGCTCCCTCCGTCAATTGCTCCGACGACATTTGCTCCGCCGACAATTGCTCCGCCGACAATTGCTCCGCCGACAATTGCTCCGCCTGAAGCGACAATTGCTCCAGTGACATTTGCTCCGCCGACTATTGCTCCGACGACATTTGCTCTGCATGAAGCGACACTTGCTCCGGTGACATTTGCTCCGACGACATTTGCTCCGCCCAAAAAGTGTCCCATTGAATACAAATGCTAGTAGTACTACGACAAATGCTTCACCGACAATATTTTTTTTTCACGGGTTGTTTTTGTTTGTTTCTTTTTTTCTTCATTTTCTGAATGCATTTCATGAAATTATGTAAATGAAATGAAATGAATGAATGTTGATAATGTGGGAGGAAAAAGCAGTTGCCTAAAAGTCATTTCGAATATACTGAAATAACTTTCCATCTATCACTGTACGTCCCACATAATGTACACTAAACACTCATTACATGTCATGGGAAGTTTTTTTTTTTTTTTTAAAGTAGAGCAGCAAGCCACATTCCCCAATACGCGCATACCTCCTAGTTAATTTCAAACAGCTCATCAATATGTAAGACCTGAAATTACCTCAATGAAAGAAGACTAATAACATGAGAGGAAAGAAAAGAGCAAAAAAGACAACCTTTTTTTGCTATTCCCCATAATGTTTGATTTAAAAAAATAAAAAATAAAATTATAGCTCCTTACGCAAGTTCTCCGGCGAAAGATAATTACTCCGCTCAAAATCTGTTTCATGTATTACTCATTAGCTGATCCAAAGCTCAAGGCTATCTCTCTCTCTCTCTCTCTCTTTCTCTCTCTCCCATGCTCCTCCTTTTCCTGTTTACACCGTTTTCTTGTCTTCTTTGCTCTTTTCTTTCCTCTCATGCTATTAGTCTTCTTTCATTTCCATCACTTCTTCTCTGCTCCCCCTCTCGAGTTCTATTTCTCTCGTGAAATTGAAACGTTAAGTAATACAATCATGTAGTACATTCTTGTTTAGAATAGTATTTTCAATAATATCCAGTCCATTTTCTAAAGGTTTCTTTCCTTTAGTTAAGTGTATGTAGCTTTAATATATATATGTTAGTGTGCAAAACACTCCGTTTCATTCGAGTACTTTGTTTTCACTAAATAATTTAAGGGACTCACGAAGCAACCGGAAGAAGAGCAATTGGCTTATCATGAAGAACTAACATCAAACTGCAACAAAATGATTTGTATAAATGTGAATAAGCAGAAAGGCTGCCATCTCATTTTCCCGTCTGAATGGGTTCTCTTCCTTACGTATATAAGTGCCCTTATTTTCTAAACTTTTTTTTTTTTTATATTTGTGTGTTTATTAAATTTTCAATCATATAAAAATTACATATTTACAAGTCATTGGTAATAATTAGACAAACAAAAAAACCAATATGTATAAGAACAACTAACAATAATGAAAGGACAAGAAAGTTATAAAAAAAAACATTATAGTAAAAAAAAAATACACTGTACACATATAAATCATATTTTGAACTCCAGTGCATAAAGGGGAGTGAGGGGGAACAGGAATAAAAGTTAAATCAACATGAGTATCATAAGTCAAATCGCCATTTCTTAAAATGCGAAACGAGCTTGTTCCTTTTTTTTCGCTGAGAAATATTCAATATCTTTTTGTTTCTTTATAAAACTCTTAAAAAGATCAACACTTGGTAAATCCCCCTTACTTATTTTCTAAACTTCCATGATGACCTATTACATTGTATAATGCTATACCTAGTAAGATGAATTGATCGAGGTAATTTCAGGTATTACATATTGATGAGCTACTTGAAATTAACTAGGAGGTATGCGCGTATTGGGGAATGTGGCTTGCTGCTCTACTTTTTTTTAAAAAACTTCCCACGACATGTAATGAGTGTTTAGTATACATTATATGGGACGTACAGTGATAGATGGAAAGTTATTTCAGTATATTCGAAATGACTTTTAGGTAACTCCTTTTTCCTCCCACTTCATCAACATTCATTCATTTCATTTCATCTACATTATTTCAAGAAATGCATTCAGAAAATGAAGAAGAAAAAAAAAAAACGAAAAAAATAGGTGTAAAGAAAATATTGTCGGCGAAGCATTTGTCGTAGTACTAGTAGCATTTGTAGTTTATGGAACACTTTTTGGGCGGAGCAAATGTCGTCGGAGCAAATGTCGGCGGAGCAATTGTCGCTTCAGGCGGAGCAATTGTCGGCGGAGCAATTGTCGGCGGAGCAAATGTCGGTGGAGCAAATGTCGGCGGAGCAAATGTCGGCGGAGCAATTGTCGCTTCAGGCGGAGCAATTGTCGGCGGAGCAATTGTCGGCGGAGCAAATGTCGGCGGAGCAATTGTCGCTTCAGGCGGAGCAATTATCGCGGAGCAATTGTCGGCGGAGCAAATGTCGGCGGAGCAAGTGTCGCTTCAGGCGGAGCAAATGTCGGCGGAGCAAATGTCGGCGGAGCAATTGTCGCGTTTTGCGGAGCAATTGACGGCGGAGCAATTGTCGGCGGAGCAATTGTCGGCGGAGCAATTGTCGGCGGAGCATCTGTCGGCGGAGCAATTGTCGGCGGAGCAATTGTCGGCGGAGCAACTGTCGGCGGAGCAACTGTCGGCGGAGCATTTGACGTCGGAGCAAATGTCGCGGAGCAAATGTCGCGGAGCAATTGTCGCGTTTTGCGGAGTAAATGTCGGCGGAGCAATCGTCGGCGGAGCATGTGTCGGGTTACCTTGTTAAGTCCAACTTAGAGATAAGTTCAACTTACGATCTTTGTGAAACACTTCCCTGGATTTCAAAGAGATGATAGTGACAAAGTCGAAGAATAACAATGAATACAGACGTAAGAAAGATTTTAGTCTTGCACTTTGTCCTATTGCAAATCAACGTAATCAAGATATTTTGAAACCGCTAAAGACACGAAAAGAAGTCTTTCTGAATGTTATAATTTTCATCATTCGTCGTCTTGATTTTGCTTCATTTTATGAGGTTTCACAAAACGCGATCATCCTTTCTGGTGACATACATGTTTGTTTGAAAAAGTCTTCATCCGCTTTGTAATCCATTTCTTTATCTTAAAAAGCCGTCTACGGTATCATACACTACATTTGATTTTGTTGCCCTTTATCCTAACGTAATATCGAATATTTAGGCAAACATCTGAGTAAGGGGGTGGGGCCATATCACTTTTTGGCCCATGAACAAATACTACGCATACGTGTGAGAATTGCTATATACAGAACATGTTCATTGTACCTGTATATTGTTTTTACTCAAAATGCGCATCCTGTAAAAAGACATCAATTCATAATGGATAACTTGAAATGACTCATCCATCCCATAACCTGATTTTTTTTTCTGTGTGTGGCATGATAACATATATAATTTGTTTAATCAAGAAAAAGTGTTTGAATTGAGAGATTTATGTTGTGTAAAAGAAACTGTGAAATACAATTAGTTTTTAAAACCCCATATTCTGAATAAGTCACACTCATATGTGGGGTGCAGCATTTATATTTCAGATAAAAAGAGAATGTTGCCCTTTTCTACACTTTGATAGCCTAGAGTATCTGTTTCTAATAACAAACACCATCGCTTTCCTAGTTATCTTGGTGTTTTGTCTCTTATTCTTCTCTCTTCATGTTTGGAATGGTGCTGTGGATGCTAAGGAAGTAGAAGCTCCAGAGTTATGGATATAGTGTGGGCAATCATGGGTGTTTAAAGACTTAAGGAACAGATAATTGAAAGTGGGTTTTCGAGTTAGAGTGGGTGTACATCAGGGATCAGTATTGCATCCACTACTGTTGTCTACTGTGATTGATGTTTTATTAGAGTCAGTGAAGAAAGATGTTTTATTAAACATGTATGCAAGTGACTTCATTTTGATGGCTGAACCCATGCACCAGCTGGGGAGGGATTTTACAAACTGGAAGAATGCATTTTAGTGCAGGGGCCTTAAAGTCAACACTTGAAAGACAAAGGTGATGAAAGCAAGTGGCGGGGCAACATCAGTGGAATAAAACATTATAGATGATTGTAGTGTATGTGGCTATAGCAAGTGATGAGGAACCCTATCAGATGCATGTCATGTACAAGTGGGTTTATGCAAGATGAGCTGGACTAGTGAAACCTTCCAACAAAATGGCTGATTGCAAGAAATGCAGAGAGATTAGTAACGGAGTAATGTGGAGCAAGAACGGATGTTGAGAAGATTGATACTATTTGTTATCTTGGGTATACAATCAACGTCGGTGATGGGTGTGAGATTCCATCGACAAGAAGATGCAGATTGGGTGGATGAAGTTTAATGAATTGACCTCGATCCTAGCTGGTATAAGGTTTACGATGAGAATACGAGGCAAGAGATATAAGGCTTGTGTTATAAAAGTGACGATATATGGTTCAGAAGCCTTGGAAGTAGATAAAGTAGAATAGCTACCACACTGAAGACGTGTGGTGTGGAAACACAAGTTAGTTCATGGAAATGTTGGATCTGGAAGAAACTGACTTGGAAATGGTACAGAAAAGTGAATTGAGATGGATGGGTCATGTGTAAAGAAGGAAAGCTAATGCATCTGTGAACAAAGCATGGGATCTGGAAGTGGGCGACAAACGAGGGAAAGGGATACCTCAACTTTCTTGGAGAAATGTGATAAAGAAAGAAAGCAGTAAGGTTGGAGGTTGTCAAGGCAAGAAGAAGTGGAGAGTGGGAGTGTCATCATGGCGCGAAAGTCAGCAACCCGTTGTAGAAGGGACAATGCTGACTTTTCTTTGATAATTTTCGGAATTGGAACTTCTTTTTCATTTTCAGAAACATTAATCACATTTCAAACCTTATGAATATCAAACCTTTCAGAATAATGAACCTTTTGAAAAACGACATGTTCAAGCATAGTATGCTGCAAATCGATCATGTATGTCTGATTCACTGTCTTTATTGTCAAGGCTCACCTCTTTTCAGCTTGGTCAAAATATCAGAAAGAAACCAACCCTAATTTCCTTATTTCCTTCACTTTACATCTTTAATACGAGTGTAATTAATGCAAATGTTATGAGAAGATTTTGTGAGTCGAAGTTCAGTAATATTTGAGTTATGTCCACACATCCCAGCATGTAATAGTAACGTTAGTTTGCTACTCCACTGGACGTATACGGATGAACAGAATAACTTTTGCGCGAATGGCATACCATGTTTCGGACCCTTTAGCTTTCATGAAAATCACATCCGTACCGTTAAAGATAAATGCTAGTTCTGGTCATGCGATTGCATTGTGAAAGAAACGTTGTGGAATCGATCAGAAAAGGTTGATAATCTAGCCTATAAGTATTGGTGTGTACTGCAAGGGTTTGGAATCATCAAAATTATTAGAAATTTGGCCCAGTCTTGACAAAGTTACAAGCACTGTACACATACAGATGTATATTTGACTACCCCCACACGTGCACGACACGTGTGTTATATCTATCAGGTCCAAATAGATATAATAATTTACCAAATATATCAATTAGTAGGCGGTTTCTGGGCAAAATTTGTATGATCACGTATTAGTAATAACATATTCTTTCACATGATTGGTAATAAGAGCTTCCATTTCTTTTTTTGAGGGGGGTGTTTCCAAAACAGGTCTTTACCTTTAAGGAAAAGGTTTGAGAACCCCTGCTTTACACTACTGATATTATTGATGTTATTAATGCGTAATCATGATAATTCAACTACAGGTAATAGATGACACAGACTAGAAACGCTTTGTTAATGAACGGTTTAGAAATTTAGTGAAAAGTTGGCTTTGATTTATGGTACATTTATGCTCAAAGAACTTGAGTCATGCTTTTGTTATTTTGTGTAAGGAACCCGTTTCATATGAAAATGAAACTATTTTATCAGGGGATTTGCCTTTCATGGTAGCCAGGCAACCATACAGTTGGATACATATCTCTTGCCTAGTGAGACGGAGAAAGCATTATGTATATTGCAAATCAAACATGTAGCATGTGAGTATTAGAGGAGTACTTATGGTACTGGATAGTGTATAAGGGAGGGTATGCATGTGCATGAAAGATAGTGTACCATATACCTATTGTAATGAAAGCATGTCCAGGCATAGCCCCATCCCTCTCTTGCTCTCTCTCTCTCTCTTTCCCCTATCTCTCTTTCACCCATATCTCTCTCTTACTCTCCATTTCTTTTTCTTGCTTTCTCTCTATCTCACTCTCCCCGTTCTCTCTTATCTCACCCGTCTCTCTCTCTCTCTCTCTCTGTTATATTATCGTTCATGCCCATACCAACCCTCCCTACTGTATGAGTTGCAATGCAGCGAATATGAGGAATCACAATTATTAAATGAAATCTGCAAAATGAGTATGGTAAAATGAAGATTTTTTTTGTATGGCATTATGTCATTAGGGCATCAATTCTAATTTGCACAATTTAGGAAAGGTTTGTTTGCTTTATTATTTGCTCTATCTGACGAGAAACCCAAATTGAGGGGCTTTGCATGTAGCCAGAAAACCAGACAATTGAATACATATGTCGTGCCCAGTGGAATGGAGAAAGCTGTATGTTGTAAATCATACATATGATATGGCAGGGGTAACAGAGTGTCTTTAAAAGGGGGGAGGAATCTCAAAGTGTAAAACTACAAAATTGAGATCTTCAAGATTGTCTCTTTACGTGGTCTAAGCCTTTGCTTCAACACCAAACTTTGCTGTTGTGTGTGACGGTCTGAAAAAAATGTCTCTCAATCATTTATATTAGAGCACATGTTAGGGACATCATGACACGTCTATTGTTTCTGGGGACATGAGGGGTAATAACAATGTCTTTTCATAGCACGTATGGTAATTATTTTCCAGTCTTTTTTGTATAACTTAAATGACATTTAGAAATGAAAATGCATTTGCCTTGAGTTTAAAAACTCCTACATTCTCTAAACGTCTATATTCTTGAAAAAAGGGTGATTGATTACCTTGGTATTCTATGAGTTCAAAGGGGCATTGGGTTTAAAGAATGATAGGTTGAAAGATACCCCTATTAGCAGTTGAAAATAATATGTGTTCAAATGAACACATCTACTACAGAAGAGGCACTTTTCAAGTGAAAACAATTGGCAGTTATAAACAGGTAAAAGGGGCATTTATTACAAAGGGAAAGGGGCAGAATCGATGTCAATGTTAAAAGGGCACCTATCAGATATAAATAGGGGCACTTATCAGCGGTGTAAAAGGGGACTAATGGGAAGGAGGAAGGGGCACTTATTAAAAAAGGGCACTTATCTGAAGTAAAAAGTGGCAGATTTGGGTTCGAATGGTGAGCAAGGGGCTATGAGCCCCTCTTGGCCACCCTCTCTAACCCCAGAGTGTCACCTTTGTCCCAGACCATTTTCGATAATCGTTTAATGCACCTTTTATAACATATTATAATTTAAAAAAATACCACTATGTTATTGGGTGTGGAGTAAGGACACTCAATTATACTTCCCGCTAGAATAATGGTGAATAGGACCAGTGTAATAGGCATAAAATGAGAAGAGCATCTCCATCAAATATGACACTCTGAGATTTAAAAACCTCCCCAAACTCCTGATCCTCTATTTATAATCTTGTTGATGAATATCATTACAAATTTGGAGTTCTGGGTTGTGAGAATTATATTCTACTTTTTATAAACTAAGATTAAATTGATAATAGTTCAAGCAATACGGATAGTGATGATTCCGATTATGATAATGATAATACAGAATGCCCCCTAATCGCTTGTGAATTTTATTATTTCACATGTCTTGCCTCATCAAATAAAATTTTTCATTTAAAACGTATCATTACTGATTCACATAAAATAATAATAATAATAACAACATTTATAATGCGCACATATCCACCCCAAGAGATGCTCAAGGCGCCTAACAAGGTAAGTACATTGAACGAAAATAATATAACATAATTAAATATAATTCAACAACGTTAATTACATCAGATTGTGAAATACACTACGTCTTAAATAAGGAATTCAGACATTAGATAGGTTTTCAATTGTTTTTGGAACACATTTTGATTGAATGGGGTAGGGAGTTCCATAACCGGGGTGCAGCAGCTGTAAAAGCTCTGTCTCCCCAACTCCTCTTTGTTCTTAATTGTGTTAAATTTGTTGAATTAGAGGCAGCTGCGTTTTGAACCTTTTGTAGTCTGTGAATTTGGTATTTAGGAAGTCCATAAATAGAGAGTTACCGTTATCGAGATGAGATGTTACAAAAGCATGAATCAATTGTTGAGTGGTTTGGGGGGTTAAACATTTCCTTATAGCGCGAAGATTACGAAGATGATAATTGGCAGCTTTCACACATTTTGAAATATGTGCATCAAGAGACATGCTTGTATCGAAAATGACACCAAGATTTCTTGCCTTATCTGAAGGAGCAATGTGCACAGAACCAACACATATATGAGTTATAACAATCTTGGAAAGTTGTTGTCTGGAGCCTAACAAGAGAAATTCTGTTTTATCGTCATTTAGTTTGAGATAGCAATCATTCATCCATTTTCGTACATCATGAATACAACTTTCAAGATCTTCAACACGTTTTTCTACCTGTTCCTGAATAGGAAGACATACATTTAATTGTCTTATATATAATGGTTTATTTATTCAAAAATCAAATTGCAGCCCAAAGGCTGAATTGCACGATTTTTTTTACAAATCTTTGACATAAAAACAGATTATAATGAACATTGTAAAAAGCATTTTGTATGCAGTTATTATTTAGTGTAACACTAAATAATAACTGCATACAAAATTATTAACGCAATAATATTCAACTAATATTCTTTAACATTTGAAACCGAAATAGCTAGGATTGTCAGATGGGATAAAGGCAAATAGATAAATAGATGACCAGATTGAGGGAGGGAGAGAGAGAGAATCAAGAAGGGAGAGAAAAAAAGGTGGGAGTCAGAGAGGAAGAACTAGTGTTGGAAGAAAAAATTCCATGAGGTAAAAACTAAGAATCAGGAGTAACGGAAGCCAGAAATAAGGCTTTAGGTATGTGTTTTTGAATGCTTCATCGTCAGATGAGAGAACAAACCAGGTACAACAAATACATTATATTGATATTTGAATATTATAAAATTAAAATACAATTCATCATTTAAACCGGTTGTATGCTTAAAATAATGCTTAAAAGTGAAATTAGATAAATTATACTTGTACACTAAACAGAGTCCACAAATAGATACAACTAGGCTATTATTTACATTTAAAACATCATATATATATATGTAAAATGAAGAATGCGAGGAATTAGGCAATACAACAGCAAAGGCAGATGTATATCTTAATATGTATATGGAGTGGGAGAGCGAGAGAGAGAGAGAGGGGGAGGAATAAGATAGAAAAGAACTGGCCGGCCAAAATGACTTAAAATGATCTTGCCAAGGTCTTCAATTCCAGCGAAATTTTCTTGAAACAGTCTACATTTTGTCGCGGACAAACTGACTTATTCTTATCTTATGGCATTTTTTACAGAAGATAATTTTAAGAGTAATGTTCGACTGTTCGTACACTACATGGGCCTATGACGAAGGTCGTGTGTCTTATGACAGTTTTATTACGGTCATAATTCGAGGCAACACGACGAGAAACTATCTTAATTTTGACTCTCGGTGGAATGCAGTGGTTTAGAAGACCCGACCACTGACTAGATTATGTTTTCATACCCGTTGCACTATATATTGATTTTCCTTTCTCTCTTTCTAACGAATAGTTATACCAAAAACTCGAAATCATCAATATCAAATGTACTAAGTACTAATAAAAAATATTAATTAAGCTTGCTTCCATATTAAGGTTGTTTATAAATATTGTAGTGCATGCATCTATGTGATGTTTCTATTAAGGGTCTGGGCAAACAACTATGCCTCGAAACCACGAATTCCTTCTAATGGACAGACAAGGTCACGCGCTGGCTGAGAGGTGAATATTACCAAATTATGATTGTTTGTATGACTTTTGTAAAAGAAATTGCTAATCTTGCTTGAAATATGATTAAAATGGAAAATTTAAGGTGAAAACAAACTTCGAACGAAAGGAATCGACCAACGTCAAGTCAGTTTTCTGCATGGGGAAGATAGTCTCATGTCAAGACGTCGATTACTATGACCTAAGGAAAATGAGTACAACCTTACCAAACATTGTCATTTACTTGCGTTGTACAGAATAAAACAAGCCAACCACCTTACAGTAATTATACGAATGCATTCATTTCAAATGTTATAAAGTATTTTCAGTCATACACTAATACCATAACGTTGGAATAATTTCGTTACACTGACCAAGGTTGAAGAAATTGAAGAAGAAAAAAAAGTTTGTAAAGATTATTGTGGTTTGATTGTCATTATGAGGAAATTGATCATCAAAGTGTTGAGAAAATAATAAGTGTTATCAAAGACTTTATGAACAACAGCGTATATCGCATGCTCATTATTTACAAACCGAAAATAATAAACGAGAAGCTCAAAAGAAAAGAAAATGTAATAAATGCATAAGGAAATATAGAAAAAGAAGATGAATCAAATGACAAGGCAATACAACAGAAAGAATAGAAAGAGAAAGAAAGAAATATATTAGGAAAGAGAGTAGATGAAAGAAGAGAAAACTCAGAAATACATCAGAAAAGACATATAGAGAAAGAACGGACGAAACAAAGAAATAATACAATTATGGAAAGAGAGGTAGAGAAATAAGAAAAACATTGAAAATATATAAGGAAAGAAAGAAACAGAAAAGCAAATATATACATATGGAGAAATAGAAGATGAAGGCAGTAAAAAGAAAGAAATCCATTAATGGTCACACAAAAAGTGAAATAACGGGAAAACATTTTGTCGAGTATTGTTTGCTGAAGTTCGTCGCTAATGTGTATGTGTAAAATGTGATTATGCAGTGCGTGTGGTTGTAAATTTGAACTTTTCTATCCGTGTCTGACCATAGACGTACCACCAACGTTGGTGGTACGCCTATGGTCTGTGACTGACACATCTCATTTCTTATCCCTCGGTTATTTTCCAGTAAATTTTCTGTCATTCCAAAAAAAATTACACCGGTATAGTTGTTAATTGATTGTGTATGTTTATTTTGGAGATCTAGATATAATAATTATATAGAATAGAATATAATACCTGCCTTCTCGGCCCGATGATACATCTACTAAACTGACACTGAAATGAATACAAAGCAATAAGTTTGTTTACCACAATTGAAATGAACCTTCCTATGAAATAATGTTTCAGATATTCCAAGAAAGAAGAACGATCGCACCGATACAATTTCGTTAAATATTTACTAAAAAATAGAATGGAAAAAATGGAAAATAAATCCAGTATTCAAGTTAAATAAAGACATGATTCCTCCTTTTCCCATCCCCTATACTTTGTATAAGTGGGAATGGTCTTATTAAATATGGTGCCAAAAATCCATCAAAGAACAACAAGTTACGTTGGTTAAATTTCCTTATAACGGTACTTTCAACAACAACAAAACAATTGAAGAAACAAATTAATTACTCAAAATAAAAACCTGGTTCTTCCTATTTACTATTTTTGGCATTTTCGTAATACCAGTTATTCTAAGTTAAATCAAATTTGTTATTTTTTTTATCAAATTCTGGAATAAAGGTACAGTTTGTGATTGAAATAAATTCAACAATATAAAGGGGAATTCACTTAACTTTTCATGTTATTACCAAAGAAGACAAAAAGCCAGTCAGTCACTCAATAGTGTCTGACAGTGAAGTCTAGCAAGTAAACGGATTTCCTTGCATAATTTGAATATGAGGACACTGCTAACGTTTAAATTTCACAGATAGGACATAAATGACATATTCATAATTCCTGCAAAGTTCCACAGCATTTGAGGTTGGCTGCAAAAGGGACATAGTACCTTTAAACTTGAAGCATTTCGGGAATACTAAATTAGAGTTTTGACTTATGATAATAGTCGATCGCCCTTCCAACTGCAATATATACGAATGAGTGAAAATGTAACCCTCGTGTGTTCCACAATTCACAGCATAAACATGTTTGTAATTCCATTATTGCAGACCATGCTCGAGAAATTTATTTTTGCAGTGATTGCCATGAAAAAGGCTCACCAAAGGATAATCTGATTATATTGCAAAATAGAATTGGCTAGACGGCCAGTTGGCAACCACTCAAAATATACTATTACAGTTAGAGTAACATAACGCAACAACGTCACTTCAAAGAGATAATAACACGAATGGTATTATTATGAGTACAGTGATCTGGTGAAAGAGACATATATCTAATGACATATACACAAATACATATTGTCTCCTAGTCTGGTTGATGCAGGGGTGTATATATACA